TCAAGTGAGATGGAATCTGTCGATCGCTGAATCTCGTGATGTGCCTTATGTTTCTACTTTTTGTTCGCTCGATTGCCTCTCAGCTGGTAAGCAGTGCTCTACCTACTTACTTGCCAGCAGCCAATTCTGACCACGGCGATAATCACTTTGCTATTATTCAAAGCTAGTTTTTATGTTCGAACTTGAGCGCGTCGCCTTCGGGGAAAGCGTGGTCGGTTGTGTCCCATCCTGGCAGAAAACACCGAGACAACCCTGAAACTAGTCGAAACTAGTCTGCCAGCCCAGATCGCGATTTCCTACAACATGCCATCGACAGACTCTGACCCTGCCCCTCGCACGCGCCACTACCCTCGCTCATTCCACCTTGCCTCCCGCCTACATATATCGTGCAGTCTGTGAGTTGGACCTATAGCCGAAACGCACTCCTTCTCCCTTTGTGTGCTTCTCCACTCCTCCGCTTCTCGCGATCGTGCAGTTTTTGCCGTGCGCTAGCCCCTATCCGCTCTAGGTGGCTTTCAAAGACGCTCTCGGAACAATCATGGCCTCTACTGGGATCCCACCGTATATCGCACAGTTGTTCGTATAGCAATCAAACCTGTATTCGTAGATGTTGCGCTAACAAATCACTGCTTTCATTAGGACGGGTCCTCTGGTAAGTCGAGCTGAACCTCCGTCCTACCCTCCTCTGCTCACTAGACATTGAACATAACACAGTTTCTAGGACATCTGTTCAACTGGGGTTTGTTTGGTGCTTTGACCGTACAAGTCTGTGAGTTTTCTGCTCTCGTCTCGTCTATTTTCGCAATTGACTTACATACAATACCTCACCTAGATGTCTACTACCTGTCTTTCCCCAAGGACAAGACACTCCCCAAAGCCATTGTCACGACATGCTACATCCTGGAGCTGCTGCAGACGGTCTTGTCCACTCGCGACGCGTTCAGGAATTTCGCAACGGGATGGGGTAACATGGAGGATCTGGACAGGGTAGGGTGGTTGTGGTTTAGTGTGCCCGTTATGGGAAGTATCAGTGAGCAGCGTTATTTTCTATTTTTGCAGGAGGTATCTCACAATGTATCTGTCGTTGTTAGTCTGCAGTATGGGCCAGCTATTCTACGCCTGGAGGATATACATTTTGAGCCATTCGCGCCTCATCACGCTTCTCATCGTCGCCGTATGTGTCCTCCACCAGTCCTCGCCGCTTCCTGTTCACGACATTTCACTGACGTCTTTTCCGCATCGTCCATAGATTGCCATGGTTCAACTTGGGTTCGGCATATATTCTGGGGCGCATGCTGGGATCATTGGTCATTTCTCCGGGTGTAAGTCTCCTTATTACCACTTTACATTGCACTCACGTGTGTAAAATGGAATTTCCAGTGCAAGCAACTACGTTCAAAACGACAGCTGTACGTGATTCTATGTAGCCACCCCTTTTATGTACTCACCGCCTGTTTGTCAGGTCTGGCTAGGCTCCGCAGCCGCCGATGATATCGTTATTGCCGTTTGTATGATCTACTTCCTCCGCAGGTCCAACACAGGTTTCAAGCAAACATCGACACTCCTTACAAAGTTCATTCGTCTGTCATGCGAGACTGGCCTCGCGTGTGCACTTTTCGCCATCCTCGATCTGGCCTTCTACATCCGCTGGCAGAACAACAACTACCATCTTGCACCGAGCATCCCGCTCAGCAAGATGTATAGTAACAGTCTGCTAGTGGTGAGTCCCAATCGTTTTTTACTCCCCACTGACGAAGACGTGTCTAACGAGCCGGGGGATGCCATGTAGGTCCTGAATGCTCGGATAAAGATCGTAGGCGGCCGCAACGAGTACAAAACAAACAGCAGCTTTACCGGAGATCTGTCTTACCTCGATGGCTCTCATATATCCACAGTCCCGCACTTTGGGACGGGGGGCTCGAAGCCAAGGAAAACAGGCGGCGCCTCCAACATCTCTGTAACTGTTTCGCAAGAGGTGCACAGTACCACAAACGAGACGTCGTCTCGCGTGCCGAGACAGGTCCATATCCCGATGGTGGACATGGACGACTCGGTGGAAATGGGAGACGATCATGTGAGATGACTTTCTTCTACTTGTGAATGTCTCCGAGCTCACGAAAACAATCATCTGGTACATAGAAGCAAAAGTTCGATGGCTCTCCTTTGGACGACATCTCCACAACCACAGTCGAGGGCATCAACAAACGCGCACAGCTGGTTTGAGTCTTCTGAGAGCGCCAAACAAAGTCCTCTCACTAGTCTGGATCGATGCTCACGCCTTCTCTGCGCATCTCGGTATTATGAACATTCTACGGGTTTTCTGCACGACTCAAGACTATACCGTGTTCACATTTCATCTCCCATCTTAAACCTGAAGGCCAGGAAGCCCGTTTCTCACGTACTGTATGTACCCTACTTTTCTGGGATTTTTGTTGTTGTTACTGCTGCTGTCGTTGTTACGTGCCGTCGTCGTCATTACAGAGAGGTTCAATTTCTGGACTATTATTGGTTCACGATGCTTTGTAGGGGTGGAAACAGATGACCATGTCAAATCTTAGAAGAAAATAAAAGTACAATCGTTTGACACGTATATTTGTATCACTGTCTTTACTCTTATTGTACACCGGAATTACCACTACTACCATCCCCATTTTTGTGTGGATGCAGCGCGGTCCAGCTGCAACTAACCACGGATCTGTGATTGACGCTTATGTCGTTGAGGGCAAGTCGAACCTGTTGGACGTGCTCTTCCTCTATTACTTGGTTTAGCGAAGGCACCGCTACTCAGCTCGAGGTACCTAGTTTCTTTGCTGGGCAGCATAGCGTCTCACTGCCTGCAGCTTTAATAAACAACCGCGACTAGGGACGCAGACTACACGAGCGAAGGTGCGAGAGCTTTGCACCACGCTGGTACTTACTACCACTTACCTGGCACCGGCTGCGATCGCGTCTACAAATGCTCAACTAGCTGGCTGCTCACTGGCAAGATTCTCCTCGGTGACAAGAGCTTTTGCAACCATATTTCATAGTACCAAACAAACATCTGTGCAGGAATCACTTTATACCCCGCAGCCGTAGCTCTTGCCAATGTCAAACATAGACTCGCCGCGCATAGGTCTCAGGAGCCCCAACGAGGTGCAAGAAGAGCCGTTGTCACCAAAGATGACGTTCAGCGGAGGGAACACCCCGACATCCGGCAGCAAATCTGCACCATACAGTAATACCTCCTTCTCAACATCCAATTCTGCGTTCAGGACTCAGACGAGCTCGAGTAGCCTTGCGAGTGTTGCCTCTGCGTCTGGTCCAGCGGGTGCCTCATCCTCATCCGCACGATCATCGTTGCCCAAGAACCTATCCAGTTTACGCGTCGCGAGCTCGGCGTCCTTGAAGAGCGACAGAGACAGAGCAGCGGCGGGAAGCGACACGGCGTCTGCGACCGGAGTGTCAGTGTCTGGAGTTATGGCGACAAACGCACCTCTAGCTGCGGGAAAAGGAAGATCAAAGTCGCCTGGGAGTGCTACCATTCGTGAAAAAGATGCGTCGTCATCGAGCGGTAGGGACGGACAGGCAATCGCTTCTTCGAAGGTCCCGAAGGCTTTGCCCATTCAGCCTATGCCCCGTTACAGGAACAATCCGCATTTACCAGCCGGGAACGCCGAGCCTGTGCCTGCGACTCTGATGTACTGGAGCAAGGCCCCGGTGTACGGTCTGCTGCCAACTCACGGGCTACGGGCACACAGCGTCACATTGGTTGACGGGATCGCGTGGATTTTTGGGGGGTGTGACGAGAAGGGCTGCTGGAAGGATGTGTTGTGCTTCAACACAGGTAGGTTATGGCTCAAATGTGTCGGCGGGTCATTCTGACACAAATCAGATACGATGCAATGGTCCAGCCCTACTACCCTTGGTGAAGTTCCGCCTCCTTGTCGAGCGCACACGGCTACGCTGGTGGACAAACGAATCGTCATGTTTGGTGGAGGCGAAGGCCCTCTGTATTACGACGACGTATTTGTGCTAGATACTGTCACCAGGCAGTGGCAGCATCCTAAACTCGGCCCCCCTAAACCGACTTCACCCCCAGGCACACCTCGTGCAGATCACGTTCAAATCAACCCCGAAGAGCACGAGCCGCCTACAATTCCGCCCCCACGTCGTGCACATACTGCAGTACTCTATCGTGGTCGCATCTGGGTGTTCGGCGGAGGTAACGGTACACAAGCCTTGAACGATCTTTGGACGCTTGAAGTAGGGAGCAGTGCTGCCGTGGAAAGGATGAGATGGGAACTAATTCAGACAGGGGGTAAGAAGCCCAGCCCTCGTGGGTACCATACCGCGAACCTCGTTGGAAACGTCATGGTCGTGATGGGTGGCAGCGATGGGCGTGAATGCTTCTCCGATATATGGTGCTTGAACCTGGGTTAGCTTTCCTTCTCGCGCGACATTCCGTTCTCACACAGCTGACAATCACTTTTCAAGACACGCTGCAATGGAGTCAAGTGAAACTGCAAACATCGTTCCGTCGATTGTCGCACACTGCTACTCAAGTTGGATCGTACCTATACATCTTTGGTGGACACAACGGCTCTTCATATACGTCCGAGCTCCTGCTATTCAATCTCGGTATGTACAATATTGCTTGCTTCGTTTTGTGGGGTATGACCGACATTTCGTTTCATCTGTAGTGGCGTTGGTGTTCGAGCCCCGGATACCTGCTGGTCGGCCGCCGTCAGCGCGGGGATATCATGCAGCTCTTCTAACTGATAGCAGGCTATTCGTCTTTGGAGGATTCAATGGGAATGATGTCTACGAAGATGTACATTTGTTGGACCTTGCTGGCGCAGCGTATCTGCCGCAGGTGACAAGCTTTACAATTGATGTAGATTAGGGCTTGTATATATATAATTTCTCTACGTGCGTATTAGGAGCGAAATTGCTGGCGACGAAATCGCTGCTGGTATTGTGAGGACTATCATAATGGCAAGAAGTACTGATCTACTCAAGGCACTATAGCCAAGTGGTTACGGCGTTTGATTAGAAATCAAATCCTCTTTGAGGGCGCAGGTTCAAATCCTGCTGGTGTCGTCGAAACGTTGCTTATTCATTTTTTGAACCACAAACCAGTCAATGTCGAAAAGGCTAGCTTGTGTAATCTTCTCTTTATCTGCGCACATTCTCGATGAAATTTGAGAGAATGCTCTTGCGTTACTCCGCTGTCAAGTTGGCAAATACGTATACAACCATTTGTTTCTGTAATCCCTCTGCATGCAGTAGTGAGCTCGTTTCTACTCGCGTGCTTACATTACTAGCATCTGCTGCAAATGTCACGCATAGTCTTATTAGAAGGAGGAAGAAGAAAAAAGAGTCCCGCGGGTCCCTATCGCGTACCTACATACTGCATGATCAAAAGCAATGACGAATTGCCAAGAAATACGACACCAGCAGGATTTGAACCTGCGCCCTCAAAGAGGAGTTGATAACGGAACGATTCGAATCAACCGCCGTAACCACTTGGCTATAGTGCCTTATCAACGCCTTCCCAGTAGCAGCCATGATTGGCCTCACGGTTGATCTACAAAGTGTGCCGCTCATGATACAGTAAGGATGATACTTAGCGTAAGAAACGGCAACAGTTGCATAATTGGAGAGTATGCAACTTTCATTATCAATCAACGCTTCACATGCCAGTGGAGCACAAGCGCAGAAATAGTATGCGGAGTGTGAGTACTGCTAATGCTAGGTCCAGACAAGAGTTGAGAGAATGGAGCGGATAAATGGTATGTAGTCACTGTTCTGACCAAAAGTGACACCAACAAGCATAGCCTCTGGAGTGGTGTGCTTGGTCATGGCGGCAGGAGTAGAAAATGTCGTCTCTATATTCCGCCTACTGTAGCAGGGGAATTTCGCCTCGTCAATCCAAAAGGGAAAAAATGCTGTCAAGCATACTGTAGCCTTGTCGGTCGACAGCGGAGGATTCTTTGCACGCTAGTGGTCTGCACAACAAGATCCGATGTCGCGTAGCATGCGGTATGGTAGAGGACGGCAGTACAAAATCTCACGCACCACGTCAAGAGCATTATATATGATCATCGCTGTTTGAGTTTCCTCAAGGCCCTGCCAGTGGTCATACTTGCGCAAGCGTTGTCATAAAGAGGGAACGTGTTCAATAGCAAGTTCATGTGAGACTCTACAGTATGTCGTGATGCTCAGACGTTGTAATACTCAAACGCTGGGGACCCTGGTTCGGCACTGTCGAGAATCGGCGAAGAGAACCCTTTGCTCTGCGCTTCGTCCCCTAGGAACACAATCACGTCGACGAGGCCCAGCGATTTTTTTAGATAAGGTGCGATTTGTTGTAGGACTTCTATTTCGGAGAAGGGGACGGTCCGGTTAAAGGCAGTGGCTGCGCCGAATTGGCTCATGCGTTTCTGTACCAGAAACATCAATTATCTATTGTGTAGCTCGTAGATACGTCAGACTCACCTTGAAAGCCTGCACGAATGGCATAGCACGCTTGTCCTTGCCCAGGCCTCGATCCGCTAACAACGCCCTGACTTTGACATCGTCCACCTTGTCCTTCTCCTCATCGTACGCCTCCTTCACAACTTGGATGCACGTGTCTTGCCACTCGGGGAAAGCCGTCGCGACGTAGATTCGGACACTCTTCGCCTTCTTCGGGTCGTAAGTCGCACCCTTGCCCTTCGCCTTGCCCATTTTCTTTAATAAAGTGACTTCAGCATCCCGCATGCTCTTCAGAGTGCCCCGGACATAGGCACCGGCGTCCAAAATTATTTGATCCGGCGGTGACGATGGGGTAGGCCAGCGAGCATTTTGCACCGTGGAAGGCTCCTTTAGAACTTCGGTCCAGATATGTTCAGAGAAGTGCGGCGCGATAGGGAGGACGAGGAGAGCAGAGATACGGATCCAGTAATGGATGAGGCCTGTGTGCATGCCAACGTCAGAGGTAACCTCGCGGTACCAGTCTCGCGCGGTCTGGAGCTCGTAGAAGCCGTACTTCAGAGCATCCTTGTAGTTAGTACTGAAGATGATTCAATTGTAAGACACAGACATCAGAAAGTGTCCGGAAACCGGACTTACGCTTCGTAGTGTTTATATGTTGTATTGATGAGCGCCTTGATCTCTTCCTCGAAGACCTTGTCATGGAAGTTCTTCTCGCCAGTCCTCAGCTTGCTTTTCTCGTTCTCCATCTCTTCACACCAGCTGATCAAGGTATGAAGACGTAAGATGCTTGCGTTAGCTGTCTTCTCATCGAAGTTTGCATCCTCGATGCCATCACCGGCATCAGCCAAAGTCAACCTAGTCGCACCTGCGCCGAACTTCTCAATACCCTGCCTCATGGTCAGACTGTTTCCCGTCGATTTCGACATTTTCTGTCCGTTCAGCATCAAGTGGCCATTCGTGCGCATACTAAGAGGCCATTTGGACTCGGAGAAAAGAGCGGCGTGGTTGTAAACACAGAATGTCAAGTGATTCGGGATGAGATCCTTTCCTGAGGAGCGAATGTCGAAGGGATAGAAATATGAGAACGAATGCCTCATCTGTTCTAGGTATTCCTTGTGAATGTCGGAGTCAGTTGGGTATGGGCCGTCTCGGAAGATGAATTCCCATGCTTGATCCGTCATCTGCTCGGGTTTAACGTTCAGAAGACCAGGTTTAGTACCGTCGAGGTTGCCTGTGATTACTGCGTCAGTCATCTGGCATGAGAAGCAGTAAATCACTTTCACGTACCGTGCAAGTAGTGTGCAACCGTGTAATACGCCATGTAGATAGTCGAGTCACTCAAGCTCTCCACCAGGAACTGGGAATCCCAGGGGATCTTCGAGCCCAAACCGTAGGTTCGTGCGCAAGCCCACTTGTTCAGCCAAGCTAGGACACCCTCGAAACCATTCCTGGTCTCAGCGTTATATGTCTCCATCTTGGCAACAAGCCTATGAAAGTCGGTCAATGAAGCAAGCCGCACGAACAATAACACGACTTACTTCTCAGCCTGTGCCCTCCACGATGGCTCACCGTAATCGAGGTACCACTGATCCATCAGGGCAACGATACACTCGTCACCGCTCCTGCTGACGACGTTGCCCTCAGGCTCCGCGTATGCAAGGGCCGCACCTTTCTGAATCATGCTCTCCCGAACCTTGGGCTTCGCCTCCTGCACCGACAGCCCCTTAAAGTCGCCGACAAGCATGGTACCGTTATAGAAACCCTCCTTGTACGCAATCTCCTTCGCCTCGGCGAGCTGCTTCGCATCTTTCGGGCTGTTTATCTTGAGCTTCTGCACAAGGGCAGGCGCGGTCATCTCGCCGTATTCAGGAGTGCCAATGACGGGCAAGGGGTCAAACGAGGCCCAGTGCGCATCAATTTTGTAAAACTCGGCCTTTTTGCGTAGGTCCATGAGAGTCGCGTAGTCATCCGGAGAGTCTGAGGGCACGGAAGTGACGACACCTGTACCCTATGTTTTTCGTCGTGAGGAAGGCGCCGCAGACATATGGCGAGACACACTACCTTCGCGGGCAAAATACTCTCCATCGGCAGGACATAAACTTCGCCATTGTTTACCAGGCAGAACGGCGCGACGACCTTGGTGCCGATCAGATCCTTGCCATTGATTTCCAATAGCTGCGTAACTTTGCCTTTCTCGACAGAGTTGCCCTGGAATGCCATGTTGCGTGCACTGCGGTAGGTGCAAACAAACGCCTCTTGGTCGTTGATCGCGAAAACGCCGTAATCTATCAGGGGCGAAACAAAGCAGTTTGTCTGGCCGTACATGGTCTCAGGCCTCAATGTCGCAGCCACTAGGCTTACTCTGCGTCCGTTCAGCTTGTCTTTAGCGGCGTCGAATATTGCTTTGCTTGAGGAAGAGAAATCCGCGACGGGCATCTTGATAAGGGTGTATTCTTGGGGACCCAACGCCTCTCCGGCAGAACGATCGTGATCCATACACGGCTGGCCGTCCTTAGGTGAGTATATGGTGTACCGTTCGCCGAATTTAATCTTTTGCAAACGGTAAAGAAGATTCGTCTGCCAGCGTACAAACGCGTCGTAATACGGGTTCGCGTCTGTGGTAAGGAAGGATCGGCGCCAGTCTATGCGAGAGCCGAACAGTCCGTGGTCAGCCTGTATATACCGTAAGCACGACTCGCTGCTCGTCATAGGGTGGCTTGACACGTACGATGCAGATGGGTGGGAAGTACTCAAGCCAATAGTATGGATCAGCGAACTTCTTTATCTCTTGGCGAGGCACGCCGATGGACTCCATGATCTGGAATTGGTACTGTAGCCCCGTGGCTTTTGCGGACACCTTGCCCTTCTTCGCTTTGTCGACGCGTGCAGTCGGGGTCTGCGTCGGATTGCTCACTGTGGCGGGAGCTGAAGATGTGCCTTCGGTAGTCGCACGATCAGGGTCATCCTCGGTCGCAGTGGGAGCAGGATGGGGTGGATGCTCTGCCTCTTCCTGCTGACTGAATCCGGAGAAGTCTTCGCCGAACATGTCCATCTCGCGGATGATTTTATCCGAAGCAGCCTGGTCAAGCACGTTCAGAAAGACATACTCTTAAGTTAGGCATTTACGCACCTTGATTGGCATACCCGTGCAATGAAATCCGTGCGGGAATAGCACCCTCTTCCCCAGCATCCTTTGAAAACCTGCTGCGAACTCAATCTTGGAAATCGTGAACGCATGTCCAAGATGCAAAGAGCCGTTCATGTATGGGTAGGGGAAGTTTCCAAACCATTTGGGATACTTTTCTTGGATTTGAGAAGGTGAAAGACCCTTGCATTCTTCGATGGACGGAGCTTCCACCTCGAAGACACGCTCTGCCTCCCAACGAGCCTGGTACTTGCTCTCAAGTGCTTGGAGGGAGTCGCGCTTGGCAGTCTACAGATGCAAAGCCATTTAGTTGTCATTGTTATCGCACAATGGTGGACGTACCTGCGCTAGCTCGATGGGACCTGTGGAGGTCATCGTGGACAGCAGTCGAGTCTGAAATATAGTACAGCTCTTTGCAAGAGCACAGTGGTTCCTGAAGAGGCGGAAAATGGTTTACAGCTCGGTTTTGACCGATGCC